CCTTCACCCTATTTTTCAATATTGTGAAGTTGTTAACACTTAATCCTACAGAATAATTCTTCTCAACTAATATTTTTCCTAGCCCTTCTAACTCCTGTTCTTGATGATTTATATCCGCTAGGCGCAAACTCCTTATTATCATTGATTTCATTACGCCTACCTTAACACCATAAATGTGGTTCGAGGAGAAATTCAGAAGGAAACCAGCATTTGTGGGTTTCCAATATACATCTCTACCCAGTTTGTTCCCTTCTTTACCAATTAGGGCAACCAAAAATTGTAACTTGTTCTATTTTTCTAAATCCATAGTGAATTTAGCCGCCTTTTCAACTCTATTCATTCAACCATGGAAGTCATCTAAACACTCTTGGCCATCCTACCAGATAGGATCATCATAGTAATCACCTATATATCTAAAAAATAGTTTCGTAACTAGGAGTGACTCTTGAAAAGGCCGAACTTCCAGTTAACTCATGCAGTTATTAGCTAAAACTGGAGACAAACATCATCTCATAGCTAGCCCTCCTGTTCATTCGTATAATCTATCATTAAAGATGAACCACGTACTATTTATTATTAATTTCATCAATCGCATAATTGATTCCTAAATTATCCTATTTTCTGATATTATCTCTGGATGTAGATCTCAAGTAAATCTGAATGCCTGTATGGCCCCACTTATAGGTACATTTGTGTACATCGATAATAAATCAAAACTTACTAGTAAATCTTCATGTTCTATTTTGTGCTCTTCTATTAACTTTATAAGGTCATAAGAATTCTTTATTGAAATTTCACAAATCATATCAACCTTATTATTTACAAGACATTGAGTAAAAGAAGAAAACTAAACTAAACTGGAGCTTGTTTTTGGACCTAAAATTGCCGACTAATTCGGGTTAGTTGTATACACACGAAAACACGCATCTACGAAGTTGTAACAAGACCCATGACAACTGGATCTACTTTAGTTTATTTGGATTGACACAAGTTGCGACCACATCCGCTCCACTGTCTGCATCCCTTTGATCAACTTACGTGCATGTAGGACAAGTCTACGTCAGCCAACTAAAATATTCATATGATTGTGGGAAAATTCAACTAGAAGCCTCATGATCATATTAAACGAAATATATATTAGATATACAAATGATCTAGTATTAGTCGCGAAATATTTGATAAAAGTTTTGCTCTGGCTTCATTACACAAAAGTGTGCGCTAAAAGATTAAGTTTCGAATATATTACGAAGCTTTTATTAAATCTTGAATAAGAATACATGAAGACCGAGATGTTGTGGCTTCTTTTATGGTCGCAGTATCCTTTCGATTTATAGAAGTGGTTTGACCTCGTTGTCGCAACTTGGTCTTGTTGTCAGGACGACTATGTAGAACGTACCTATTCCGAAGTCGTCTGCCAAAGTAGTTGTCATGATTCCCAGAACCTCAGAATGTATCAAGTCCATTGTCGGATGCTGGGAATCATGACAACTACTCTGACAGACGACTTCGGACTAGGTGCGTTCTACATAGTCACCCTGACAACAAGACCAAGGTGCGACAACGAGGTTAACCCACTTCTTGAATAAGAACTTTGTCAACACAAAGTCGCCAAATGTGATTTAGGCATATATAGCGAAATGAGTAGGCTCCATAGAGCCATTGCCTTCAGAGAGGTTGTTTAACTCTGAATTGGATCGCCGTTCTGACATCGTCATGAGCATCCTGGCAACATGCTATCGGTCCGCTTCGCAACCGAAGCTGCCAGTGAGTCCCAGGACCCGTGTGAATTTCAAGGCTCGCACTTGTTGCGAGAGGGTCAATGTGAAAAACAGGTATTTGCCAGCACACATGCAGAAGCGTTGGATTTTAAGGTATCCTTTGATTTACAAATGCTGAGCTAAATTCTATTTTCCATAAGTTGCTTGACCTTGTTTCTGCAATTCGGTCATAATGGTAGGAATTCCTCTTTTCCGGAGTCCATAGTATGCATGATTATCCCCAAAGGCGCATTTGGTACATTCCCAGACGTTTCGCCGGCATCCTAGGTCTTCCAGTCAATTTGACCAAGTTGCAAGAACAATGCTAGACGACTTCTATTTTCCAGTTTTGTGTATGAAGAAAAGATTATAAAGTCGAAACTATCAATCGAACCTACAGCAAACGACCTTTTAAACCAAGTGTGTTTGACTCCCTAAGCACTGTCCGGATGTAATTCTATACTGAATGTTGGTGGTTGAATGGAGCACTGATTCAGGATGTTGGTATGCAGCGATATTTAATCGTAACTTACCAAAATGCCATCTTCAGCTGGAAGTTGCTGGTCCACTTTGTTAAATACTGAATATCTCCAAAATTCAGCCAATTGCCTTAATTTTCTGCGGTCAAATAGTAAAATCCTATGCATTACGCTGCCCTTTAAATTAAAAATTAATCATAAAGTCACTCTCTCATTGTGTACTTTATGAAGAAGATAAACTTGGTTACCACTATGCAATTTTCCCCTTGCTCACACGCATTTATGTGCCTTCTTAAGACTGGTCATACGATCCTTAGTTTGTGTCCTTGTTTGATTTAAATGGATTAGAATGTATATATATATATATATATATATATAGAGAGAGAGAGAGAGAGAGAAATAACTACCCCTGCATGACAAGTTTGTTACATATATCTAGAAATCATGATCAAATCATCTGATTCCCGTGGTCCTTAGTAGTTCATGCCTCTAACTATGCTAAAACTTTCTATCCATCCTAGTTCATACACACATACACGAGCACGTATAAAGCTAATCAACACAGACAAACTTGAGTCCTGAACTACGCAATCGGAGTGGGGGTTTCAAAGAGGGTAATTAAAAATTAATAACCGAGAAGAGAGATTACACTCTGATCTAATTACTTGGAGATATCATTTCTTGTTTCGTAATCTTACATTAATTTAAGCACATTCGCATAGGCCAGCATAAACACACATGCTTCTAGTTCGGCATATGACATGAACTCCATACCTCATAAAAATAAAAGTTTTTAGGGTGAGCATACAGCATGTGGGCCTAAGATAGTAAATTTTCGTGACACGTTAGCCTGGATAATTATAAGAATGACGCCCTTATCTAATGCCAACCGTTATATTACAAAAGAAAGCTTAGCCAGTCTTCGCTACAGTTGAAGGCAACTGCCTCGGAGACAGCCCAAACCAGAATGTTTCTTTAAAGCCAAACGCTAGCTGGCCACGGTGTGATCGACCTTGGAATCTCCTCCTCACACTCCTTCACAAAGAGGAAAGTGGGCCCAATATTTGCGACTTTCGAGAGCTACCAGGTTTTTCCCTATTCCTCTTCACAGCAATCGTATTTTCCGTTTGCATATACCGAACTAATGCACAGAGAGGGAGTAGGTTTTGAAACTATCAGTAAATCACTTCACAAGTTCTCCAGCTCACTCATTTGGTTGAGAGACATTTAACCTGTCGTCCTTATACATTCTGTAAAGAAAGATAGCAGACTTGTAGGTTAGTGTATATCCATCGTCATTTTAGCTCACCGAATGCTGGATTTCGCCAAGTTATAGTCATACTTTTTCGCAAATGTGCAGGTTTTCGAGACCTCCAGTAAATCAGATATATGAGTTGTATTCGCCATATCTCATTTGAGGTGAGGAAGGACCCTGGATGAGAACGCTTTTTGGGAAAGCAAGGCTATGTGAAATCAAATGGACACGTTAGCTCTACTCATGTCATTATGGGAAAACTCACCTTAAACAATTCATATACTCATATTTTCACTGTCCATTTCTGCCTGTTTCGCTTGCGAAATCCACTTGTCCTCCCAACCATTTTGCCCTTTGCCTGATCTATCCTTTGCTTTCGCTTCCTGCAGACATACACTCTCGCATGGTGGAGACGATCTGTGCCGACACGTACGTGGATGTGAAATGCGACAACCAGGCGGTGGTGATGCTCCGCGGCCTGCTGCTGCGACAGCCCGATTCGGCGGTGTCCAAGACCGGTTCTGCGGGAGGGCAGATTTCCGCTTGTCCCGCCATTGAAGCGGATCCTGCCGGTATGTCTAGCGACTGTGAAGTGGTCTGATGGGTCAGTTTCTATTTCCTTTTGCCTTGTACAAAAGGGTTGTCTGATTGTACTCTCGGTAGGGCTCAAAAACGCCTGCCCCCCGCAGGAGGCGTGAGCACTGTCTGCGAAGCAACCGAGGAAGTAGGAGGTTAATGCTGGTTTTCATTGCTTCACAGGTTTTTAGGCAATCACCAAAATGGTGGTACAAGATACCAAAGACTAAAGGCAGCTTGAATCGGTAGATATGCTCGGAAAGCCTAGTGCAGGCAATAGTTTGGATGCACTTATGATATCTCAGTTTTAAAATAGTTTTCGACAAAACCAGTAGATCTTGTATAAGAGATATATTCCTGCATGTGATTAAGGACTTGTAGTCTTGAAAGCTATTTAAAAGCAAATTTGCAATGTCGAAATTCGAATACAATATGATGAGATATACGAAAGTTCTGGCCCTGCTTAAAGCCCATCTCTTTTCTTTGGCCCAAGAACACCCGTGGTTGTGTGGCGCAGTGGGTAACGTATTGAGACTATATGCTAAACTATCACAGCTCTGCTCAGATTCCCTTTGGAGGTGCGGATGAGACCTAGGCTAGGTCAAAACCCCAGTCCAACCTGGATGAAAATGACTTTTGTGAGGCAAGACTAAATGAAATTCAGTGGAACTGTGCAATCTGCACATTGGATTTTGGGAAAGTACAGCTACCAGTTCTTCATAATCTCAAACAAAATGGGGCGAATGCAGCTTTTATGCACTTATCATATCTTACTAAAAAGAGGGGAAGAGAGAGAGAAATATAGGGGGAGATTTGGATAAATATGGTGATAAAGAGGAGAAAGTAGAAGCTGGGAGGAAAGAGATAAAGACAGGGAAAGAGAAGAAGATAATGAACCAGATGAAGAAAGGAGAAGCGAGAGAGAGAGAGAGAAAGATAAGTTAGGAAAATATAGAAATAAAGAAAATGAAGGAAAGAGTGA